ACGCCCGGCCGCCTTTGTCTCCCCAGTGGCGATGTTCACACACCTAGGGGAGGCCCAGGACCGGTTCAAATAATCGTCACCGGTGGTGGCCGTGAGCGGGAATCGAACTCGGGTCGCCGGGTTCGTAGCGTGGCGCGCTAACCGCTACACTACAATGCGTTACGTTTCCACGTGCATGGGTCACGTGACAGATTTGACGTCACAGCTCACTTGCTGTGCAAAAAAATAAATGCATTATTGAGCTCCCCCCCCCAAAAAAAAACAAGTTTATTTTTATAATTTTTGCATGGTGTACAGTCTGGAAAGTACCCGCATGGTAAATTTCCAGTTTGTTGCATGTAGGGAAGTACGCTAAACATTTTGAACAGACACACATATTCACAACTTTGCCTTTTATATATATGGAGATTATGCGCGCTTGAGTCTTCATTGTTTACCAGAAAATGTGCTTTAATGGAACCGCTTTAAGTGGCGGCAAAATATTACGGACGTGCTCCCCGATCCACTGCCCGCTCCGCGTTATTATTTCGCAGCAGAACGTGGAAATTTAATCAGCGCGGCTGTAATTCTCTTCTCCGGCTGGGCGCTCTCACGGATCCTGCCTCTGCCAGATTGGGGTGCTTAGTTATCATCTTTGTGGCGTGTCAAATGACCCTCGGCCCGCTCTTCGGCCACCGTTCCAATCGGGCTTTTGCCCGCATTCCAAAAACGTACGCATTGTTAATAATAATAATAACTGTTAATAATAAGTATTAGATAAGCAAAAAACGATTCCCCATGTAAACTCAACGATAAACTATTTTTTATTTGACCAGGTAAGGCCCCCACTGCGCTATGTAGCCCTTTTTCAGAAGCGACCTAACCGCAAATGATAGCTCAACGAAGTGGCTTATCATGTGGTAATGTATTGCAGCGTGTTTCTAAATGTTGGGAGGGAAAAACCGCAGGACCTGAAGAAAAATCCACGCGACCACGGGGAGAACGTGCAAACTCCAAATATACAGGCGTCAGGGTCGGGATCGAACCCACGACCCTCCTGCATACCAGGCGAGGAAGTCAACATCTCGGCACCATGGCGCCCCAGACAGACTGTTTTCGGTAAGTGCTGTTAAGACAGCGCCTATGACGGGCGGCCACAGCACCAAGGAGGTGCTGTGGCCGGCACCGAGCCCGGCTGCCTTTGTCTCTCCAGTGCGCTGAGGTTTTCACAATGCACCAGGTACCCATTTAAGGCTGAGTCGACACAGAGGATGCCCGGGACCGTTTCAGATATTGCTCGCCCAGTCATCTTAGCCATGAGCGGGAATGGAATTCGGGTGGTCGGGTTCACAGCGCACCGCGCTGGCCACCGCACCACGTATACATGTTCGCTCATGTTACACGTACACGCGAGTGTAGTGTACAAAATTGAGGGCAGTGAATGATTGCATAATGGGCATGCACAGACCATTCACTTAGTCTGGCATTTCAAGCGTGGGCGGGTGGGTGGGCACAGTGTCTCATGTGCTGGCAACCCGTACCAGAACTCCGTGGTCTCGCCTACGAGTCTACGGGGTTATCGCTGTGCTGTAACCCCACAGAATGACAGTGTCTAAGCCAACCCATCCACCACCAACAAAGACCTCCCGTATAGCCTTAACAGACAGTGTCTAAGCCAACCCATCCACCACCAACAAAGACAAAGATCTCCCGTATAGCCTTAACAGACAGTTTTGGCAAGTGCTGTTAGCGAGCACCTATGAAGGCCGGGATGGCACACGAGGGGGTGGGTGGCCAGCACTATGCCCGACAGCCTTTGTCTCCACAGTGGTGATGTATACACACACCGCTGCACGAGGTACTAATTTTAGGCCGAGTCAACCAAAGACCGGTTCAGATTCTCGTTACTGGTGTTGGCCGTGAGCGGGAATCGAACACGGGTCGCTGGGTTCGTAGAGCTACACTCCCGCTCCACCACTAACACCATCAACACCACCACCAACCAGCAGTGGTTGATCCAGAGAAAAAAATTTAAAATTTAAAATAAATATATTTTAAACTAAAAAACATAAATGTATAAAATATTTAAAATAAATTGAAAATATTCAGAAAAAAACATTTCAATAAAATTTTTTTTTTAATATATACTCAAAAAAATCCAGAAAAATATTCAGATCATCATGACTTCCCATCTACGGCTAGAGATGCTCCCACTGGAATAATCATCCATCATGTGGTGTTCACGTCAATTACATATTACGGGGAGAATGGCTTGTGTAAATTAGCGGACACTGTGTGTGGGTGGAACCTTTTTACAACGTGAGATGCCAAGACGCCCGGTTAATTAAGTTTGATTGCATTAGAAGCTATGGGGGGCTGTTTTCACAAGAATAAATCGTTAACATGATGTGGCCAAGTGTATTCATTTCACTCTGTATCATTTTCCAAAAATGCAATGGAGGATGATTTTTTTTATTGTTTCTTTACTCTAAAAGCCCTTGGGGGTTAATTTACGATTTCATCAAGGCGACCGAAAGGAACGATATATAAAGCACATTCAACAAGACTTTGGCGACGGGACCCCCCCTTTCGAAAAAGATAGCCTTCGTCTCGATTGCCTTATCGCGTCAAGGACGAATAAGTTACGTTTAAGGTGAACCGGAGGCCACGGATAATAATCGAGCGTGGAAGTTCAAGACTGGCCACCGGTGGCGGGAGGTGGACACGAGTGTCGTCCAACTGGCAAGCCCTATTTGTGAGAACAGCGCCGGGTTAGAGGAGACATTACTGGTACGAAAGACTCTTATAAAAAGCACAACGCTATCCCATTCACCCGAATCGTCACGGCATGGCACGCGTGCTTCGTTCCACGAAAGCCTGCGCGTATCAAACCACAGCGCTTCTATTTCCACGCTCGGTACACACACGACCGGCCGTGAACAAACGCAGCGAGCGGACGGTGCCGCGTGTCGCCACGCGGATTATTTTGGGATAGCGCGCACGCAAGGCAGTTGCCTAGTGATCAGACTCAAGACTCCAAATGTAAAGTTTTGTTAAATTCGCTTCCAAGAAACGATGCTATTTTTTTTTTGTTATTTCATGGAGCGACGATTCAATTTCGCGCCGTGAACAAATGAACGCAAAAGGTAATGATTCCCGCTCCGCCCCACCACACTCCCGACTAGATATACGGACTGTTGGGGCCAGTGCTATTAGCGAGCACCTGTGAAGGCCGGCAAGGAGCACGACGGGGTGGTGTTGTGGCGAACACCATGCCCATCTATCTTTGTCTCCCCAATGCTGACGTTTACACACTGCACCAAGCATTCATTTAAGGTCGAGTCACTCCAGGGGAGGCCCAGAACCAGGTTCAGATATTCATCACTGATGCTGGCCATGAACAGGAATTGAACTCAAGTGGCCAGCATCTTCGTGAGCAGTGCACTAACCACTATATTACCACTCCCCACGAAAAAAAAAAATCCTCGTATAGCCTTAACAGACTTTTGGGGCAAGTGCTGTTCACGAGTAGCACCTATAAAGAGCGGTGGGTGGCCAGCACCATGCCCGGCCGACTTTGTCTCCCCAGTGGTGATGTTTACATACCGCACCAGTTACTCATTTGAGACTGAATCGACCGAGGCGAGGCCCAGGACCGGTTCAAATAACTATCACTGGTGTTAGCCATGAGTGGGAATTGAACTCGGGCGGCCGGGTTCGTAGCGTAGTGCGCTCAATGCGACACTACCACTCCCCACATACACAAAAGACATAGATCCCCCGTATAGCCTTAAAAGACTGTAGGGGCAACTGCTGTTAGCGAGCACCTATGAAGGCCCGAACGGTACACGAGGGGGTGGGTGTCCAGCACCACGCCCGACCGCCTTTGTCTCCCTAGTGGCGATGTTTACACACCGCACCAGGTACTCATTTGAGGCTGAGTCGACCTAAGGGGAGGCCCGGGACCGGTTCAGATAACCGTCACTAGTGTTGGCCGTGAGCGGGAATCGAACCTTTGTCGCCGCGTTCATAGCGCAGCGTAGCGCTAACCGCTACACTACCGCTCCCCACATACACGCACGCGCATTCACGCGCGTCGTTCGTTCTATCGCATAAACTAACCAGTGACAGACCAAGAATACATTTGTCTAACTTTTTCACAATCCAGCGCTAAAAGTTCTAAGAACGCATTGCGATTCCCCAACTATGCTTTTTTCTCTCTCTCGCATAAACATACGTGCACCAAATGTCTTAAAGCAAAAACTACTCAGGGAAAACGATGACAACACCCTCTTCAAATCAGGAGGTGGGGGGGTTAGAAGTCGAATTGCCAGGGTGGAATTTGTTTGGAATCCATGGGGGGGGGGGGGGGGGGGTGGGGGGGGGGAGGGGGGAACTCTGCGCATCGTTTTTAGTGGCTTCACTGATGTGGCTCTCGAACATCGCCCCAACGTGAAGGATCCACGGCCTACGAGATTCCCCCAACCCTCCACATCCGGTTCAAGTCGGTGAAACTGCGTGGCGAGGCCGCAGAATGGGACTTGCGCGACCCGCCACGTTGGTTGCTTCGCTCGGTTCATTCATCCCGCTGCGTTTTGTGCTATTACGAGCACGGAGCACGTAATTACGCTTTTAGATTTGAACTCTTAATAATTCTAACTGACCATCCCCCGCCTAACGCCACCCAACCCTGCCACCCGCCCATGCTGACATGAAACGTTGCAACACATTTTTTTATTCTATTAAATTGGTTTCCTGACACCCACCCGACTTGCCGAAGACAGAGAGGGTGAGCGGAGGACAGGGGGGATGGGCGGGAGGGATGGGCCGAGGGGGTGGGGGTGAGGGGAACCAGGAGGGATGTAGGGGGAGGGGACCAAACGCACGGTGCCGCCACCGCCGCCACATGGCTCACAGGAGAAGGGGAACACAGAGCCAGGCCCTGCTGCTCGGCCACAACTGGGCCATTCCACTGTTCATGGGGAACAAGGCACCCGAAGGCTCGAGCACGCTGGCTTCACCTGTCTGGTAGAGGGCCTTGAGTGATGCGATGTCAGACAGGTCTTCGGTCCTTGCCCTTCGAAGCCAGCGCTGGTACCTTCAGGGGATGTAGGGGGTGGGGGGAAAAACACTTGTGCTACTCAGAGCCCTTTTCCACTGGCTCATCTGAGCCAAGCCAGTGCGGGGCCCTTAACCAAGCAGGGGTCAGACTGGGGGAGCAGTGGACAGACTGGGGGAGCAGCGGTCAGACTGGGGGAGCAGTGGACAGACTGGGGAGCAGTGGACAGACTGGGGGAGCGGGGGACAGACTGGGGGAGCAGTGGACAGACTGGGGGAGCAGCGGACAGACTGGGGGAGCAGGGGACAGACTGGAGGAGCAACGGTCAGACTGGGGGAGCAGGGGACAGACTGGGGGAGCAGTGGACAGACTGGGGGAGCAGGGGACAGACTGGGGGAGCAGGGGAGAGACTGGGGAGAGGAAGGAGGGCCCGCAGCGCTGCCAGCTCACGTTCGCTGGTGAGCCTTGAGCCAGGAGTCGGACGACGGCGGCGACATGAGGCTCCGTTGCCTCTGCTTGTCGTGGTCGCCCTCCATGCGGGCGAACGCGTGGGCGCCCACGCCCACCATCTCCCCGTCCACTCGGTCCGAGTCGTCGCTCGCGTCCTCCGCGCCATCACTCTCCGAGCCTTGCGCAGGAGGGAGCGGACGAGCGACGCGAGTCATAACCGACGCTCGCCTCTCGTGGCCTCCGCGAGCCGGTGCGCTGAGGCTTTCTAAACTAAACAATTTTTTTTTTATTTTACCAGGCAAGGCCCACTGAGCTATGCAGCTCTTTTTTCAGAAGTGACCCGGCCACACATGATAGCTCAACGAATTGGCATACAGTGTGGAAAAGCATAGGAGCCAGTGTGCTTCGCTAATTTTAAGAGGGAGGCCACTTTCGCCAATAAGACATCATCGATGTTAGGGCCGCCACGCATTTGAAACCACGGGGGGGGGGGTTTGACAGCAGCACGATGATGATGGTGATGATGGGCGGTGTTTTCACACGTTGTGTATTGTCGGGAGCTGCATGTCAGGGGCTGCACTAAAGGCCACCAGGTGCTGCCAGTGGCCTGCAGGGCTTTGCAATGAAGGACACTGCATAAAAGATCTACGCCACCACGGAGAGAGAGAGACACGCAAACTCCAACTATAGGGGCGTCACGGTCGGGATCGAACACCGCAACCTCATGCATACCGGGCGAGGCAGATGACATCTCGCCACCTTAACACAGCCGCCCCTCCCCTCCATTGCGAATGAATGTGAGAGCGGCACCGCTCACGATTGCAATTGGCCACTGCGAGGCTACCCTCCAAGAGCCTTAACACTCGGAAAGTTATTCGGCAATACCAATAATAACGGTGATGACTTCAATGTCTAAACGCAGCGCACGGTGTACGCTCACTCGCGCCGACGGAACGACGCAGAGGCGGCGCGAAGAGGATCCACGGGACGAGCGGAAGGGCAGCAGCCAAGCGATGAGCCGGTGCTATCGAAAACTGCCCACGCTCTGTGGCTCTCTATATAGAGGCGTCATCGACCAATAAATGAGTGTTCACGTGTGCGAGGAAAGCGGAGCACCCGGAGAAAACCCTCGGGTTCGAGGGGGGAACAAAAGCACAAATAATAAATATGCATCGATTCGTGGATTTAAATCAATGCTTCGGCTCGTCACAACATGCAGAAAATTGCACGAGAACACGAACGAGAGGAGTATTTTACTTTTTTTTAATTATTATTTTGGACTTCATCTGGCCAGGAGGCTGAGCGGTCAAGCGAGCAGCTCGCAATCGAAAGGGTGCGAGTTCCTAATCCAGGCTGGGGGACTGACTCGGCCCACCATCCTTCCAGGGTTGATAAAATGGGTACTGCTTTGCAAAAAAGTCAACAGTGGTTGTCATCTGGCACTTGGGGGGGGGGGGGGGGGGGGAGGAGGAAAGGTTTGGAAAGCGGGGGATGCGGGCGGGGGGGGGGGTAGCTGTTGAATCTTAATGCGGCTATCCACTCTACTGGGAAGTCACGGTGTCAAGTACATTAAGTACTTGAGGTTCACTCAGCCCTGATTGACAACCTCGGCTTCCTTTGAAGAAAATAAACAGTTTCCAGACGATGATTCAGATTGCCTCTGCACGCCAGATATCAGCTGGCAGGGCAGCGCGCGTCGGCCCGTCAGTGCGTGGCGGGCGTGAGTCACGCGTCATGTCAGTGGGAGACGGCGGATCTGACAGCGCGGAGGCAAATTAGCGAAAAACTTTCTGACACTCAACCCTTAAACGGCGGGTAATGTGATTAGGGTTTTGGACACGAGTCGGCGGAAATTAGTGGAAATGTTAAGCGCGGTTCAAAACTTCACGCCCTCGAGTGCATTTTCTGTGTCGGCGAAGGCACTCTTGAAATAATAAGTGAAAAAAGAGGCACGTTCTGGAAAAATCCCAACAGCTGCAAAAAACCGTCCATCTGTCTTGCACACCACACTCCACTACATTACACCGCCAGTACAATTAATAACCTATGTAACTATATTGTTGGTTCTTTCGGTGAAGTCACGTAGAAGGGAAATAATAAAATAATAAAAAATATATAAAACAACAAAATTATCACGACGTTTCGATTGCAACACAAGCAATCATCATCAGGTGTGAAAACCACAGCAAGAAATTTTGAAAAAAGGTCTTCAATTTATGCTTGTGTTGCAATCGAAACGTCGTGATAATTTAATTGTTTTATTTTTTATTATTTTATTATTTCCCTTCTACGTGACTTTACCGAAAGAACCAAGACTATGAATCCCTGCGGTCACGAAATATTCAAATCGAAACCTAAATAACTATTTTTGTATTTTACCAGGTCAGGCCCAGTGGAGCTGTATAACGCTTTTTCAGAAGCGACCTGGCCACAAATGATAGTCCGAATCTGAAATTAAACGGCGAAATGCTCCTGCAGAGTAACTCCGTTGTCCTCCTTGGATTTGGAATGTGGAGTTGGTTCACTGATGCATCGCTGCTATGCCCCCCCCTCCCCCCCAAGTAAATTATAAGAATCCGAGCTACATTCATAGTGCGTTGAGGGTCAGGTCAAATTGTTGGGGTAAACACGAGATAAGTCTCAGCCACCGAGCTGCAATAAACAGTAATTAATTATTTACAACTGGGTAGGATCCTGTTCATGATGCAGTAACTGTATTGTAAGTGAGACCTGGTGCACGTGTATATATAGGGAGCGGTGGTGTCGCGGTTAGCGCTCTGCGCTACGAACCCGGCGACCCGGGTTCCATTCCCGCTCACGAACACGAGTGACAAGTATCTGAACCGGTCCCGGGCCTCCCCTAGGTCCACTCAGCCTCAAATGAGTACCTGGTGTGGTGTGTAAACTTTGCCACTAGGGAGACAAAGGCGGCCGGGCGTGGTGCTGGCCAGTCACCCTCTCACCTAAGAAGGCCGGCACGCTAAACAGAACTTACTCCAACAGTCTGATGAGGCTATAAGGGAATCTTTGTCTTACATATGGTTAGAAAACAAATATGAACGTGTCTCGGCAAGAGACAATAATTATCAAGCGGGGCGCCAGGGTGGGAGCGCAGTGTTAACTCCTCGTGCCTCACAGCAGGTAGCACCTGGGTTCGATTCCTGATGAGGGCTCCTTTTCTCCCTATGTTCTCAACCTGTTCTGCATGGGTTACTCCTGGGTTCTCTCGTCTCCTCCCATAGTATTGGCCAAAACATCCCAATGCTGATAAATTACCAGGAAATTACTCAATTAGGCTCACACAGCAGCAGCAACATCGCCCCTCCCTACTGTAAAAAAAAACTCCACAGGACCCTCCTGAAGACAAAACTTGAGACCCATTCGGGCTTTCCTGGGTAAACAAGCGTGGTAATAATAACAATAATAAACCTACATCTGTGCGAATAAAGGAAACATTTCAAGAGTTGTTTTTTTTTTACCAAGGACACATGTGCAATATTTATATTTTTACAGATTTTGCTGCAAGCTTAGCCAGACAGTAGCTCAGCGGGGGTTGCCCATCATCATCATCCCTCTGCGGTGGATAAAACGAGTACCACTTTGTGAGACTAGTCAACAGAGATTCTTCTTTCCAGTGACTAGCCCCCGTCATAGGAATGTGGATTCTCCACCAGTGGCTGGGGCAATGAAAGCAGATGAGAACTGCTTCAACACTCCTTTGAGCAACAAATCACTTTGACTTCACACCAACTTACAGACGTATCGCATGGTCAAAGATAGCGGCACCCTTGCACAACTGCAAATCAGAAGTGTCATGGAGCCATTTTTAGCCTTCTTCTTCATTCATTTTCAGCAATCAACCGGCGATGCTTTCGATTCACCGATTTAAACTTAATCTCTCGCGCTCGCAACGCACGGCGTCGAATCGCACAAGCACGCGGCTTAGCTCGGAGTGCCGGTTTACGATGCCAATGTCTGCGAGCCCTCCGTCGTACCGCTGTCAACCTGGCCCGGCTTGTCGGTGATGCGGATTTGCCGCTCGGCCACCACTGGCTCGCCCTCCGCGTTGCCGATGTCGTAGGGCAGCAGCGAGAGCGCCCACGCCTCCTCCTCAGGTGAGCGCGGGAAGTAGAGGGGCAGCACGTGCAGATACACCGCCTGCCGCCACCGCACAACAAAGACAAAGAACCTTGACAGACTGTTGGGGCGAGCGCTGTTAGCGAGTAGCACCTATGAAGGCCGGCACATGGCACACGAGAGGGTGGGCGGGTGGGTGGCCAGCACCACGCCCTGGTCGCCTTTGCCTCCACAGTGGCGATTGTTCAGACAATGGAACAGGTACTCATTTGAGGCTAAGCTGACCTAGGGAACGCCCAGGACCGTGTCACTGCGGCGATGGCGGAAACCATAGAGGAAAAACGCAACAATCTCGCCGACATTTGTTGAGTTCAAGAGGCATCGCAGATTAAAGTGGGGTGCAGCAGTGCGGCAGTGGTTAGTGCACAACGCGGCAAACCTGTTGACCCGACTTTGATGCAAAATCCACGGCTAACATCAGCGGCGAGTGACATCGGAAAACCGTCCCGGATACATCCCCCCCCCCCCCCACCCCCAGATTCACCAACCCGAACTGACCAGCGTGGAAAAGTACGGCCAAACAATCCTCATCACAGGCCAAAGCATGGGGAGGAAGGCCTTCATCCAACAGTGGATTTGGAAAAAAAGCATCCGTGCGTGTGCATAAAATGTAGCGGAATATGAAAGAGAGTACGGAACTGTCTGCAACCCCAAGAACATTGGGATTGTAAAAAATGTCCGTAAGATTTTTGTTGATTTAGCTAAGTCACACAGTTACTACGTAACTTATCATCAATACCATAGCTCCCTCGTTCTCCCTCCAGTCAGTGAGCACTCGTCCAGCTCTTCAGCTGAAAATCACTCGAGTGAGTGCTGCAGCTGACAAGACAGACTCACAGCAGGACGGACGAACAAAATTAAATCTCGTAAATCGTCAAATGTTTTTGTTACAGCGGTGAGAGAACAACCCTGGAGTCGCATAGTTGAGCCAGCACCACATGTCGCCACATGTCCCCACGTGACCACATGTCCACGACGAGGGTTGCTCTCGTTTATTCGCCATCAGTCCCATCCCGTGATGATGTAACGGAAACAGCAATCGCGCGCTTTCAGATGTACTACTGCGACCGTCTGGAACGCTCTTCATTAGGCTATTAGAAAGCCACTGGAGCTACGCACTTTTAAATCTGGATTCAGAACTCATTTCTTTAAAACTGCTTTTTCTGTTTAGTTTCTTGTCCTTTCCCCCCACCTCCGATTAGCACGGTTGGCTATGTAAGTGCGAAAGAAATTCAACGTACACACACCATACATACATACATACATGCTAAGCATGCGTCTGTGCAAAGCAAAATTACATAACACATTATGTTTACGTAACTACTGTTGTGTTTCGTATGATGTAACTGTGCGTCGAACTCTGAACCATATCTTAAAGAGAGGGTTATTGTCTAAAACATTTGGCAGTTCACCAGCATTAATTCGATCGAGCTGACGAGCTACTGGAAACTGATCCAGAGTTTGCCTGCGCCGCAAAACCTCGACATACGAACTGGATGTGTTCCAGGAGCTTCGCTTGTACACCGAAACCCTCGCCCATCGAGCAACTTACAACATTAGTACTGAGGATGCGTTCCCAGCTTTCGTAAAGCTTGCCATTTCATACTATATACACTTCGTAACTTACCATTCATGTTTAAAGGCAAGTGATGTCGAAAATAACATTATATTTTACACTGCACAGTATTAACATCGAAACTAACAAACGAACGAAAGCGCAATGCGCCACGCTCGAGAATCTGAAATGTATTCTTGTTTGTAGAGCACCGTATGTCGATAAACGCATTATTTATTTCAGTACATAACTATTAAATTTTTAGCGTTCACGTTTTAAAGTAATGGCGGAAAATCCAAAGTTCATTTTGGCGAAATTCCGTTTGTAGAATGTCCGCACACCGAGGTGCTGCGATACTGAACCGAGTCTGCTGAAATAACACACTCCTTACGAGGCCACGGGGCATCTTGCTTGTCTTTTTTCCCCGATTCGCTTCTTTTCATGTCACTGTTAAGACGAAGGTGGCGGAGCTCACCTGGCACGTCACCTAACTTTTTCCCGCGCCTCGTTTTTTTTTTTTCTCCGCCCGATCCCGCGTCGATTTCGGTTCACGACCGTCATGTTCTCGTTTGTCAGTTGGCGCCATGTCCCGTCAAGACCCTGTTACACTCGTTATCCGCAATGTTGACACTTTTTGTCTTCCGCCGCTGTTGTTGGCCGCTGCCGCACTCTCGCACGACAAATCCGAACGGGATCATCCGTGTCAGAAAAATAAACTCTCTTTTGTTTTATGTGGAGACAGACATACGAAAATTATATATTGTCTACCCATCTATTTTGTTATTCAAACTTGTGGGCCCCATTGGTTAGATAAGAGCGCCCACCCTAGTAAGGTGTGCTAATCCGGCAGCAATTGTTTAACATGCCTTGCTCTGCTGACGAGACACATAGGGTTGAAACCGGTCCAGGGTTTTCTCGCTGGAACAAAATGCTTCGCGATAACACTCATTTGAAAAGCCAGGAGATACCGACGGTCGGAAGCGAATTTCTAATTACGCTCATTTACACACAAAATGCTTGCCACAGATGAACCACAATCCCTTGCAAATCTCGTCAAGGAGCAAGAGAACCATCATTGCGTGAACTCCGGCCATCCTCGCAACAGCGGCTTCGAGCTCAGCCGTCAAATAAAGACGGTCACTGCATCGCGTGGCGCTGTCGAATCCGCTAATGTGGCCGTTGGGAACGCTCTTCCTTCCTGATATTCGGAAGCCACCAGAGCTATGCACTTTTAAATCATCTAGATTGAAAACTAATTTCTTAAGAACTGCTTTTAGCGTTTAATTTGTCGTCCTTCACCCGCACCTCCGATTAGTGTGGTTGGTGAAAGAAGTTCAATGTACGTACGTACGTACATACACACACACACCCTGAAGACGCAGAATGGAGCATTCTGCTCACGTTTGCTTGAGGTTCGAACACGGAACGCTTCTGCGACAAGAACACACACAGCGTGGGAAGGGGGGAGGGGCGAGTGGGCGGTGCGGCTACGCACGCATTCACAGACGCTGCGAGCATCTTCACTTTGATTCCCCAATTACAGCGCGGAAAATTAGGCAGATAAAAAGAAGAAGAAAAAAAGCGGGTCCCCAACAGCGGTAATTGCTCACGAATGACAGAGCTGTTGCGATGCACAACAGCGTGGCGCGTTGCGCTGCCACGCAGCTGAGAGTGTTTATTGCACTTTGAAGGGAACCCGAAAATGTGGCTTTTTTTTTCTTTCACCCCCGACCCCCCCTCCCCCCCGCTTCCCTTTCTGTCATTCTTTTTGAAGCGTGGCAGCGAGCGGCGGGGGAAAACGCAACGCCAAATTTTTGCGCACTCGCGACGCCCAAAAACGGTTCAAGCGCAAACGCTACAAGATGCCCCCGGCCAACATAAAAGTGAGAGGGTGATGGTAGTCGTCGTCAACAACAACAGCAGCCGCCGTTCACCACCGAGTGGCGGTGACGTCACAACGGCACGTGTGCCAAGCTAGGGGGAACTGGTCCCTGGGCCTCCTCCTTGGTCAATTCAGCCACAAATGAGTACCTGGTGCGGTGTGTAAACATCACCATTGGGGAGACAAAGGCGGCCGGGCGTGGTGTTGGCCACCCACCCCCTCGTGTGCAGTGCCGGCCTTCATAGGTGCTCGCTAACAGTACTTGTCCCAACAGTCTCGTAAGGCTAAAAAGTCGGGACCTTTGTCTTTAGCTTGCACTTTAAGGCCACGTGAGGTTTCCAACGCCCGCTGGCAGGTCAGGGAACAGGCCCAGGCGCCGTGGGCTGGCTGACTGACTGAGATGACTGAAAAATGCTCCACCTGTGACCCCTGCTGTGCAAACTCGCGGCGTTTTAGATGCCCGGCGATCCTCTCGTTTGCATCTATGCAGACACTGGGACCTGCCAGCGCAGACGTACATCACCCCTCCGCTATGTTTTACAAGATAGCCGAGCCAAACAGCCTGCCCTGCGCGGTGGAACAGCGTGGGCTGGTTTCACGCACACGTGCGGGCACCAGGGCACGCTTCAGCAACGGTGCCATTATTGACCCATATTGTTTTTGGATTAGACCGCGTGGTGGTAGTGTTAGGCCCAAATTCTAGTCATTAACCCCTCACCAACCGGCACAATTCTCGCGTTTTGCTAAGCGATTGTTTATGCGTGGCCGACCGGTGGCTCTAGGAATTTTTACGACGGAATTCAACATCGACGTGCCACAACGTTTGGCTCCGAATGCTCGTAGCTTCATCAGGTGGTGCACCCAGAATTCGAGTGTTGTTGCTGCTGCTATTGTTGTTATCAACCTGCAACTTCCCACTACTGGAAAAATCCGTCACTCATTTCTTCCATTCGTTCCTTTCCTTAGTTCAGTGGTTCTCTATATGTTAGTGTCCCAGCATCCTGAACTAACCCTTTCCCGTTCCGAAACATCTGCAAGTTGTTGGGTGGGTCCCGTTAACCTTATTTAGAGGCAAAGCGCCGCTATTTATAAAGACATTGTACTCACCACAGAGAAGTGTAGCGGCATGACCGCACTTAATGATAGCTGATGCCAAACTGTACCACACGCCCTCTCGCAAGGCCTTTCGTATGACGTACATGAATGTACATCATTGGAACGGAATCGGAAGAAAAACTAATGACGTACGAGTACATCATCGGAATGGGAAAGTAGTTAAGACCAATTGCCCCCGGGGGTCCCCTAACCCTGCCTCAGTCCCCCAGGTGCCTAACTTCCAGCTTACAAAGGCCACAATACACAGGGTGATCACGTCTCTACGCCTCTAGTCAACGCGTTGTTAATTAAGGCACGTGTGCTTCACGTGCTGGATTAGTGTGCACTGCTGCCGCAACGTGGCACTGCCATTCCCCGAGCGCATTCAACACTCCTCTTGCTCGGCATCCGTGCCGCAACCTGCACGCCCGCACTTAAAAAAGGCGGAAGGAGGACAGCGCCGCAGGTGCAACAGCGGTCGGACGGGCG